GTGACCTGGGGCCCGGGGTCGCCTGTTGACAGATTATGTTCTCTTGTATACATACATCCAGCGGAAAGTTCAATTTCGGGGCATTTACGTTTCCTCTCACTATGTCTAGCATGCAGAGAGCCGCCTTGAGTACGTTTTGCCCTAAAGCTGCCCAGGCAAGTTGCAACCAAGCAGGGCACTGCTGCTGAGCAAATGAAAACTCAGAGGGTTTTCCACTTCTGTCCTAAGTGTTCTTTCAGCCCAGGCATTTGTAGATACGTTTGCGATTTATAGAGAATCTCAGAGGAGGGAGCTGACAAGCACTCAAATACCATGGGGGCAGAGCTACCGCTTTTTCTGCAGGACCCCTGGGTGAGGGGCCTCTTCCTTTAAACCTCCAGCGCTCTGCTCAGCCGACCAGGGAAGCAACGGAACCCACAGTTTTTGTCAGCGAGTGTAACAGGGCCATCCACCCGCAAGCTTCTAATAGGCCTCCAGACGTTTCCAGAACACTGAGATTAGTAGTCCCCCTCCGATGATTAAGTTTAAATCTCCATTAACAATTTCTGGTGCCATGTGGCCCACCTGTTTGACTAGTCATTCGTCCTTCCCAAAGCTTATGTTACGGGACTTTTGTGAACTCCTGGAAATTAAATTTGGCTGCAAATGAAAGAGGCTGGGGGGTAACCTGAGACTAACACCCCTAACATTAGCCAGGCTTTGTTGTGGATGCACTTTTTACTCATTAGCCTTATTGGAACCTATCAAATTAAACAGGCGGAAAAGACAACTAGGGCAGAGAGACTGGGTTTAAAATTACAACCTCTGGGAAGCGAAGCACAGAGCCCTAGCAATGTTTCTGGCTACAGCTTCCAGAAATAAATAGGTCATGGGTTTAGCGAAGAAAAAGTGGATTCTCTCAAGTGCAGCCATTACAGACATCGTATTCCCTCCGAAACAAAAAGGTAATCATAGCTCAGACCTGAACAAACACGGACTCCTGTCCTTTCTGCAGAAGGGACCACACTTCGGTCCTATCAGGGCCTCGCCAAGATCTACCCTCATTATGTGACCGGAGAATTACACCAGCAACTCCTAAGACTCCCTCCGGGACCCTGGGAAACACGGGACAGGAGGCTACAGAAGTCGGGGTCTCACCGCCAATCTCCCAGGACAGTAAGGCGAACTGGATGCTCCCCCACGATGGCTCCACGGGTGCCTTCCTCACTGACACGGAAGAAACGGAGTCCAGCACAAAACCATCTCTAAACCACAGCACGCCCCGTTTTCTAAACAATTCCTGAACTACGACTCAGAAGAAAAACGTCGGAGACATTTCACCACAGATGGCGGGTCGGGCCTGAGGAGAGAGCGCCCTGTCCAGTCTCTCTTAATGCAGAATCAGCCGCAGGTCAGCGAGTGATGCCGACTTCAGGTTTGCCCTCTGTACAGAATTTGCAAACTAGCATCTAAGGAGACAATCTGGGAACAGGAGCATGGGGCAAAGGTACAGAACGGTGGTCTCTTACTCCGTCTACACTGACATGGAGAGTTCTTAAAGGGAAATGCCCTTGCCCTGGCCAGTGCTGCACAATGGTCAGTGTCGGCCCGTGCACTGTAGGGTCGCAGGTTCAATTCCCAGTCAAGGGCATGTACCTGGGAGGTAGGTTCAACCTCCAGCCCTGGGTGGGACGTGTGCAGGAGGCAACTAGTGGGTGTGTCTCTCTCACATCGATGTTTTTCTCTCTCTCCCCCTCCTCCTTCTCACTCTCTCTAAAAAAAAATCAACAGAAAACATATCCTTGGGAGAAGATTAACCCTGGGTGGGGCGTGTGCAGGAGGCAACCAATGGGTGTCTCTCTCAGATCGATGTTTTTCTCTCTCCCCCCCTCCTCCCTTCCTATAACTCTCTCTAAACAAATCAACGGAAAACTTATCCTTGGGAGAAGGTTAACAAAACAAAAAGAGAGAGAGAGAAATGTTAAGATTACCCTGAATTTCAACACGATGTTTCAATCCAAGAATCTTAAAGGTTTCCATCGTCTTACCAACATCTTATTCCCAGTGAGAAGTGCCTCTCTCTCCTACCAACATCTTTCACTCAAACTGAAAAAGACCTCAGGACCTGGAGTCCTGATGAATCACTTGGGGGATCCAAAATTTGAGATCCTTTTGATCTTTTACTGCTCTACAACCTGTACCTTTCAGCACATGGGCAAGGTCAAGGTAGAGTCATAAAACTTAACTCTGCGAAATGAACGTGCCTAGTGGTTAACTTTTGAAGAAGACTTGTGAAGAAGTATGTTGGCATTAACCATTTAAGCAGGAAAGAGCGGTAGATTTTCAGAGGGTGCCCTGTCTGTGTGTGGTGGGCTCATTCTCACTGCCAGAACTAAAACAGTCAGACTAACAAGGACAGTCTTACAAAATCAAGGCAGGATTATCCACAGGCAGTCGCACCTTAACCTCGTAGCATCCGGGCTTCCACCTCAAGGGTCCTAAAAACGCTCTGCCGTCCAGCCGGCGTGGCTCAGGGGTTGAGCATCAACCTATGAACCAGAGGTCACGGTTCGATTCTGGTCAGGGCACATGCCCGGGCTGCAGGCTCGATCCCCACTAGGGGCCGTGCAGGAAGCAGCCAATCGATTCTTTCTCATCACTGATGTTTCTATCTCTCTATCCCTTTTTCTTCCTTTCTGAAATCAACAAAAACATTTTTTAAATATATATTTTATTGATTTTTTACAGTGAGGAAGGGAGAGGGATAGAGAGTTAGAAACATCGATGAGAGAGAAACATCGATCAGCTGCCTCTTGCACACCCCCTACTGGGGATGTGCCCACAACCAAGGTACATGCCCTTGACCGGAATTGAACCTGGAACCCTTGAGTCCACGGCTCGATGCTCTATCCACTGAGCCAAACTGGTTAGGGCTCAATAAAAACATTCAAAAAAATAAAACAAAATAAAAATTAAAATGTTCTGCAGAAGGTAGAGGGCAATAATCACAGAGGTGCCGATCTACATGTCAATGGCTTGAGATTTAACTTCCATTTATCCGAAGAAATACATGTGGGCAGAGGAAAACAGAGCTGCTTTAGGTTGGACTGAGCCCTGGGATAGCACATATTTAAGATCACATAGAAGGCGTATTTCTGAGAGGTTGGCTATGCACAAAGAGAAAAGCCGTCACATTCTGCCAAGGAGACTGGGGGGGCGGTGGGGGGGCGGCACAGTAACAGGCAGGAGAGCGCCGCGTACCTGCGACGGGTCTGTGACCCGCAGGGTGACCACGTCCTCGCTCGTGTACTTGATAAACAGGTGGTTCTCGTCCAGAAGCTGCATCTTCCACATGCGCAGCTGCCGCAGTTGGTCAAAATACTGGAAGAAGCGCCGCTTGGCCATGGCGCTCCCATCCTGCTCTGCCCGGCGCCACAAGTAGACGAGCAGCCGGTGCTTCAGGGAGTTGATGAAGGGGTCCCTGAAGGGGTTGGCCATGCCCGTCTGGCTGTCCCGCTGAACCTCGGGGAAAAGGGCGGAGACGGTGAGCAGGTCGTCCTCATAGCAGAAGCGGCCAATGGTCCGCACGTCGATGAACGTGCCCTCGGGCGTCACCTGGAAGACGTGGATGGTCTGCTGCTGCACCGACAAGATGGCCAGGATGTTTTTGTACAAGTACAGCCCTTGGTTGTGGGACAGGACCACTTTATCACACTTGAAGGTGCGCGTGTCACACAGGCGGCCCGTGTGGAGGTCAATGATGTGGAGGGAGTAGTCCTCCAGAGGGGACCGCGGGTTGGGGGTCACGGACTCGCTGTTCCGGTAGACCTCATAGAAAGGGGGGTGAGGCTCGTCCGGAAGGTAGGCGGCCGAGCCCACGATGACACAGCGGCAGTCGTCGGTGAACAGGCTGCACTCCCGGTTCAGGTGCTCCCCGTTGGCCGCCACGTTGGTAATGTGCAGCAGGACAAAAAAGCGCTCGAAGAGCCGCCCGCGGATGTTGACCGACCGCTGGTCATTGCCGTTGGACAGGATCTCCCCCTCGTAGCCCTGCAGCAGGTCCTCGGCCGCCTGGCAGCCCTGGTACTCGTAGATCTCGAGAGACGTCTGGTCTGAAGAGAAGGCAATGAAGTAGCGCCCGTCGGGTGAGAATTTACGCAAGAAACAGGGCGGCTTTTCCACGTTGACCACTGTGAAGTTGGGGAAGACGTTCTGGTGGAACACGCGGACCTGGTGCCAGTGGGTGCCTGCCTTGCCCGAGCTGATGCGCCGGCGCTCCAAGCGGTGGATGACATTTTGGTTCTGGATTCTGCGAGGTTTGATGGTGGAAACATGATGATCCATTGTCACATCTCTACACGGAAACGTCAAGCAGAAGAAAACGCAACGGAAGTTACCAAAACCTTTACAAGTCGAACAGATTTTTCCCTCCTTGTGCCCTGCACCCGGGAGCTCCCAAGATGAGAGGGATCAGCACTTCTCCTTCTCAGATTATAACCAGGAAGTGGTCCCGACATTTTCGAGTCTAGAAACAGATTTGCGAGGAGGACCTAATTCAACTGGAATACCTTCAAAGCATGCTTAGCTGTTGGGAACAATCAACGGGGGGAGGCGGGGGGGGGGGGGGGACACCTACATCTGCATGAAATTTGTTCAATGTAAGAGTCACATTCAATGTACATTTATTTAAAAGTCTTTTATTTATTTATTTACATATGTAGTATTGGGCTCTTAAGATGTCCATACTACCCAATGCAATCAACAAACTCACAGAACCTATCACAGAGCTAAGGCCATCAAAAAGTGTGGCACTGCCCTAACTGGTGTGGCTCAGTGGATAGAGTGTCGGCCTTCGGACTGAAGGGTCCCAGGTTCGATTCCAGTCAAGGGCATGTACCTTGGCTGTGGGCACATCCCTAGTGGGGGGTGTGCGGGAGGCAGCTGATCGATGTTTCTTGCTCATCGATGTTTCTAACTCTCTATCCCTCTCCCTTTCTCTCTGTAAAAAAAATCAATAAAATATATTTTTTTTAAAAAGTGTGGCACTGACAACAACATACCAATGGAACAGACGAGAGCCCAGAAATACAGCTTTACGAATGTCAGCCTGAGAGTCGACAAGTTTAGAGAACCCTACACGTAGATAACATACTAATATCCTCCCCTTCATGGCACCTGCCCTGCCTGCAACTTTCTCTCTGCACCTGACTTAAATCTAGCCTAGGGCATAGGCGGGGCGTGCGCGCCTGCGCAGTCCATGCAGACGTTGCGTTCTGTCTGCCCATCACGGTACTGGACACAGCTTAAGCCTCCTGTCTGCCCTGAAGGCTGGACCTGCCTCATGGCCTCAAGCCCTTTGCCAACTCAGGCGGGGCCCCTCCGCCTGGGGCTGTGCCCTCTGCCTAGGGCTGTATTTCCTCCGGCCCCTGCAGCTCACGGGCCACCACCCTCAGGAAGCCTTCCCTGACCACCGACCTACCCCTGGCCTCCCCTTAGATCTGTGTCCGCCTCCCCCAAAGGGACGGTCCCGGTTTGAATCTGTGCGTTCGCTGGCATGGCGGTGCTTGCTGCTGGACGCCCCAGGCAGGCAACAATCGCGTCCACTTAAGCCCCCTCCGCTCCCTCGGGGCCCAGCCCTGGGGCCGGCCCCCACCGTGCCTCCCGCAGGTTGTTCACGGAACGAACGCCGGCCCGGCCGGAGCGCGCCACTGGCTCGCTCTGAGCTCCTCGGCACTCCTCCTGCCTGGGCTGGTCTCAGTTTCCCCCCGGGGGCGGGTGCACACATCCCTCAACTGCTAGTGACGGCTTCCACACCTGCCAGGATCGAGGGGGGGGCCCCACCCCTCCCCGGGGGCG